TCGGAGCGAGACTACTCACCAGTCACGGATATGTTTCGTCTGTTTAACAATGACTGACGCTACTTGACGATGTGTACAGTGTGGGAGGCAAAACGAACCACACTCAATTTTGCGCGCGAGTTGGACGGATGACCAGTGCGCAAACTTCCTTGCAGACGAGAAGAACTGTGGGGGGCAGAGCAATAAGATCCTGTTATGCGATGGTTGGCTCCTTGGTCACAAAAAGAAAAGGCAACTCAGCTGCAAGCAGCAAAATTATGACTAGCCCACCGCGAGGGTCGAACTCGCAGCCTTCAGATCACCGACTGGTGAGTAACCCGCCTAAGAGTCTGACGCTCTATCCGATTGAGCTAGGCGGGCTTGAAAATCGCTCCATAATTATTAATAGAGGCTGGGCAGCCTCATCGACGTGTTATACAGGCCCTGAACATTTGTGTCAAACTGCAGCAAGTCGAGGAATCCGAGTGAGCGAACGAGGCGTCGGGCATGCCAGGATCGCACATCTTGCTCGCAGACTCACGCGTGCTCCAGATCAGCCGACGGGGGAAGCTGACTCAGTACTAGGTTGAACATTCCAGTCTGAGTCGGCGAGATGGAGATGGCAGTTCCAGTGAAAGGGCAGTGCACGTGGTCAACGGCCGCATCACTCCGATTCACATCACACGTGATTCTGATGCCGATCAATCCTGTCTTTTTCTCCTCGCTCATGGAGTCATGGTCGCACAGTGCCGAGTCAAAGCTGTCTCTCCCAGGGACTTGCGACACCCGATCTATCCAGACTTGCAAGGGATCGTCGTCGATTGGATACAGAGTGAGTCGTTCGTGCCATACCCACGGCAGGATTCAGCCTTGGCAACGCACACAGACCTTCACGAATACCATCTTCGCACGAAGCAAAGCCTCTTGTGTGGCTTTCCATTTCTCACTTACTCGACGCACCCGCGATCCGTGGGAGGTCGCTGGCGTTATCAACCTCGACGAGCTTGAGCCGGCGGATCCTATCCCCTTCGACAAGCGGTCGGGCACGGGAGGCCCGCGAGGCCCTGCCATTCTCTCTCACACTCAAAGTTCCCTCATCCCAGTTTCCCAATCCGTTCAGTGCAATCTTGAGTTACAAATCCTCGTCGTCTATCTATACAAGGTCGGCTCCAGGCGAGATCCAAGTCTCTTATGGGATACACCACCAAGGTCCAGAGACGCTACCTGGGCTCGAGCATTATGGCTCCTGGTTATGGAAGAGTACTTTCTTGAAAGACGACACCGGTGCCCCTCCGTCGCTACATGGTCGATTCACCTACGAGAGTGTAATGACGGAGATCGAGAAGGACATTGGGAGTGCTGGGATTCAGCTCAGGGCCGCGCTCCGCGTTCCCCTGCCTCCGGCCGCTGTCGAGGAGCTCGACTTCACGCCTGCCTTTCAATCTCTTGCTCGCAGCAGCATTACCGCTGACCTCATGCACGCGGTCCTCGATATCGCCAAAGGTGCGTCAGCGTCTATAACTCATACCCAATTGACCTGAACGACACCAGGTATCATGGTATTCGACCACCCAATGCTCTGCTTCCCCGCCCTCACCCCCGACCCCCTGCTATTCAAAACAGACGATCCCACCGCCGGTTTCATCCTCGACCTCGACTTCCCCGCAGAGCCCTCCTCCATCACCTCCCGCGTTCCCGGACTGCACCGGCACGAAGCGAGTACCCTCCGCTTCGCTGCCTACGACCGCCTCACGCCGCATATCGCACCACCCCCCTCCCCCCTCCACCCGCAACAACTACGCGCATTTCGTCGATGAGCGGCGCGTCTTCATGCTGGATGCGACACCGTTCTGGGATGCCGCCAAGTGCCCATCGCAGCCGGGGACAGAGGGGATCATGGATAGGGTGGTGGAATCTTGGCTCCTTCTCTTGTGGCGGGTGATTGGGGAGGCACATTTGTTTCGAGAGGACAGGAGGGGGAGCAGGGGCATGATTGGGAGACACTTGGAGGGAGGTTTACTGTTGAGGGGTTCGTTGGAATTCTCGAGAGGTGATGCTTGCGGGTGGGGGTTAGAGGGTTTCTTTCTTGTTCGTAAGCTGCCTTCTACGTGCTGTGTTTCGACATGATCCTAATTTGTACGAAGGCTTAGCGCTCAGCGTTTGTATGGCAACAGCACGGTGTAATCAGCCTCCGTTTCCTTCGTTATCCCGCGTTCGAGACCGCGTCAGACGGGCTTCTTCCGCTCTGATTTCATTCTGAGCGCTCGCTGTCGACACCCTTCGAGAAATGGTGTTGTCACTGACTCTTCAAATAGGCAAGTTCGACTCAAACGACATTAATTCATCGAAAAAAACGGCCCACGATCTCGGGCGAGCTTTCAATACCGCCTCCGAGCCATCCCTCGTCTCCTGGGGAATTGGGGCCGGGGTCCAACTGCGATGACTCTCAGGATCCCCGTTCCAGATCCGTGATGATGGAAGATCTTCATTCTCAACGATCCTGCACCACTCGCGTCCATCAGCTTAGGCGAGTCATTATCAACATTCGACAAGTCAGCACCATATGCCCTTTCCGTGCTACCCTTCAAACTAAGCTCCAGATCCAATGTCAGGAGCACCTGAGTGAGCTTCCCACATGACTGTGAGAAGCGGAACAGTCTGAATATCCGAGGTGACCAGCAGTCCAGCATGTAATATCAGAAGTTCGGCTGGCCAGAACTATACTCTCACACCTTTCATATAGGTGTTATCTGACTCATTATTGACAGCCCCAACCTGCCCCAACGGTGCAGGGTAACTTCAAGGTTGTTCCAAAATCGGAGAGTGCCTGCTTCTAAACGCCGGACACAAAGCGCTCGAAACATTCGCCGCGATCTTTGCACTCCGATCGTGTCTAAGTATGGTTTCGAGAGACGAGACCTTGGTCTGGATGCCTCAGTTCTGCTGGCCTCCGTTCTGCCATCTGTGAGTGTACTCCGACGAGCTCCGATGGATCCAGGTCTGTTTCAAAATGAGATCGTGTACTGCCTGAAACACCACTCTTCCTCCCAGTTCCTTGTTTTCTACAGTGTTCTATTTTATCGAAGACATGGGAGTTTCCCAACCGCCGGTTCCCCTGTGGAGATCTGGAATGCCCGACATCGTACTACTTATCAGGCGTTGTGTGTGAGTACTTGAAAATATTTTCTCCCCTCCACAGACCGTTCATTTTTCGCGGCTGCAGCCAGATGCCAAGAAACCTCGACCTGGTACGCGCGACGTCGTCGACGCCTGCGCTCTCTCATTCGGTTCTGGGGGGTCGCCGATGCAGGAAGGCTACTCTCTCGGGCGAAGAAGTCTGGCCTGTCCATCTCGAAGCTGCGATGCTAGAGGGTGAGTCTTCATACAGTCTGATCTTCAGCTCAAGCCCGACCCTCATTATTCATCCAGGCTTGGCCAACTACATCCCCGATGAATCAAGGGAAACTCGAATCTTGGGACGATTCCGTGGACGCAATCGGTTCATCTCGGATTACATTTTTGCAAAGACGGGGGAGCGGAGAACAAACAAGCAGGTTGGGAGTAGGTTGCAGCAGTTGAGGCATTGTTCTACGGACCCTGAACGTCAGTCTTCGATCACCTGGGTCTGATTTTTTTTTAAATGTGGAATTATAGTTCGCCGACTTCTCCTTCCAATGGGTCACTCCTCTCCCACTGCGCTGTATCTAGACCGGAGTTCTTTTGGGTCCCAATATTCGATGGACAACGAATACACGGCGAGCAAGCGGATGACAATCTCCATCTCCATGCACACACTTCCCTTCACTGTGACGTCCCTCGGTGATTCCTACACATCAACGCACGCTGCGGACGCGCACCGAAAAAACCAGTTAATGGCCCCGACCGTGACGCTGATCTCGAGTCATCCCGTGTCTGCGCAATCGTACTTTTCCGTGTGGTACGGCGAGGAGTCACGGTGTGTACACACGGAAATTGTTCCCCTGGTCGTCCTAGAGGACAAGCCGGCGAATGGGACGCTTGGGTGCCTGCACAGCTCGATGCTTGTGCCGGCGTTTTGGAGGCAGCTCGTTACGAGCCCTGATCCAACGCAGTTTGTTATTACGCAGGATGTTGTGAAGGATGGGCATTGGGCTAGCGCTGTTGTGTTCTCCGCTGAATACAGATTTGTGCCATAGTACTTTGTTTCGGCGAATACATATTGAATACATACATATAGGGAGCGGCACGAGTATCGAGTGCTGCGAATACTCGCGGCATTTCACTCGCTAGTACGAGTATTCATACTCGCGAGTGGGTGGTGGCTGTGCTACTCGTGCGAGTGTGAGTATTGGTTTCCAAAAACCTTGGTACTCGCGAGTATTTGCCTGGCTACCGTAAGCTCACGGAACAGACCCAGATAGGCAATTTGATCACCGGCATCACTCGGCATCACTCGGCATGCCGGCATGTGGCAATCACTCCGTAATGTATGTCTATTCCTGTACAGAATTCAATTTACCTGTCAGTCACTACCTGTTCATCAGGAGGAACAGTAACGAAACTCCGCAACCAACTGAGTGAGCAATCAGCCCATTCCACTGTGATGGTCAGCCAGTGGGCCAGTGACGAGTTTGAGAAGCAGCTTGCAGAGGGTTGGACACGGAACAAGAAGCGGAAGGCCCCTGCTACAGCAGAAGCCTCAGGATCAGCGAGAGTTATTGTCATTGATGATGATAGTACATAGTTTGGTAACTGAAATATATGATACTCATGAATAACTCACAAATAATTTGCAACTCGCGAGTATTCCAACTCGTTGAGTGCAACTACTCGCGACTCGCGAATACTCGCGAAAGTTGCTTACTAATACACGAATACTCGCCATCAATACTCGTGCGAGTGCGAGTATCGTTTTCCCAACTTCTGCGAGTACTCATACTCGCGAGTGTATACTTGTGCCGCTCACTACATACATAACTTCGAATCCGCATTCTTGAATCATGTTCTGCTGTATCGTGGAAGCACAAAGGCAGAAAGGGCGCTGCTCCCACTGAGTTTCGAACTCAGGACCTCCAGATGGAAGATTCAAGAGAACCCTCATGTTATGAGACTGGCGCTCTAACCAACTGAGCCATGGAAGCACATGGGAGCCGTTGATGGTCTGGACCTAGGCCTGCGTCTGGCGTTTCTGCAGATTGAATTATCTCATTGCCACCTCATCGGATGAACCTTCAAGCCAAGAACCACATCAGAGCTCGTCGTTCATTCAGGTCGGTCTCGCATTCGAATAAAGAACAAACAAATGCTCATTCATAAGTTAGAATAGTTACGCTGTTACACCCTAATTTCTTTCACAATTACTTATTGGTCAGTGAGTCGCAAGGCCTCAGAGCTGGTCTGCGTCAAGCGAGTCGTAGATCGGGCACAGGTCGTCCCAATTCTGCGGAACCTGGCCGTTGCTCTGCTCCCCTTGGATGGTGGGGATGTCCTCGGCGAAAACGACAGCAAGACCGCTAGAGGGAATGTCAGCTTGGCCACGACAAGGACGCTCATGGGAATCACGTACACTTCCAAGTGCCAGATGTTGTGGCAGTGGAAGAACCCTGGTGAGGAGTCTGTTCAGCGTCTGCAGGTGAGAGTTGGATTCCGAGTACTCACATGGACCAGCGTTATCAGTAACAAAGCGGATGGTCACGTTGTCCGTGACGTCGGGGCCGGTAGAGAGGACATCGCGACGGACCTGGATCGTAAATTGGCATCAAGAAACTGTATAGAGGTAAAAACATACGGGGTCGAAGTAGTTGTAGGTCGAGTTGCCGGCGCTGCGGACAACCCAGAAGTTGTGCTACAAAGATGAGCCGCAGTTCATGGAAGTATTCGGAACACGCACTCCGTGAAGATGGAACGGATGCGGCGCGCCCACGGAGCCACCAGGAATGCTGATCTCAGTTGGGAGGAAGACCGTACACCGTGCCGGGTGGCAGCAAATCCTGAGCAGTCTGCGCCCCGCTCAAGATCTGCAGCAAGACCGGGGCAGTCGGTTCAACGAAGGGAGCGTTGTTGACCTCGAACAGGCCATTGGCTCTGTCAAGAGTGATTTGGAGGTTGATGTTGACATCGGCGCCGCCAGGGAAGGGCAGGCCAGGGACGGGGGTACCAGTGAGCGAGTGGAGGTCGGTTTCCAGGATTGGGTTGCTCGAAGTGTCGGTAGTGGTGGGCTCAGCATCGGGAGCGCCGACGTAACGAAGGATAGCCGAGTTGATTCCGCCGTCGAAGCCCGGAATGCCGGTGCTCAGGTTCGCACGGATCCAGTAGTTGTCGATCTCTTGGTCTGCGTTGAGAACAAAGGAATAACGTTGACCGGCTGGATAAATAACTCGTCAGATTCTGTTCAGAAAGTCCACTTTACCACTGACCGAAAATTTCGAACGAATCGCCGGGGGCTGCGGCGTGGCTAACACCGTCTGCCTCGATGATGGCCATTTGATGCCCGTCGATGCTGTCAGATTTTCATGAGTTTCAACCTCAGGTTTGTAAGGAAAGAAAAAAAAGATACCTCCAGACATGGGAAGGGTCGCAGGACATGCTGATAAGACGGAACCGGTAGCGAGTGCCCTTGGTGACGGTGATTACCGCGAGTTCGGAGGCGGGTCTAAAGACAATATTCATTTATCCTGTATTTTTTGACACATAATGTCAAGGACTGACCCGCCCTGGTAGCGACCGAGGCCGTTGATGACTGTCGAGTTGGCCTGTGCATTCGAAGGGGCGCTGTGATAGCAATTTGAGGTATTGAATAACATGGCCTTGATCAACAACGTACCTGGGCGAGGGGTAGTGGTACCAGTCCCCAAGGGAGATCACGGTGGTCTCTGGAGATCTATTTAGTTACGGATCCGGGGGTGGTATGAATTTCCTGTACCGTCATCGACGTCGTAAACTATGCGCGGGGAGATTCATTGTCAGCGTGGCAGCGAGCGGAGAAATGACGAGAGCGTACGTGATTTCAGCGGGTCTTCCGGGTCGTAAACTGAACCAGTGTGAGATGCGCCGCGGGATATCCCAATAAGGTATACTCACTGATGAGAGGACCGCGAAGGCCATCGCAGTATTGGGTCGCTGTGGACAATTCAGTCACAAAGACACTGCCATGGAAGCGGAAACTCACAAAGATGACTGTGGTACCCTATAATGGAAGTCCGTCAGTGTTGGCAGAAACCCGAGATTGAAGAAATCCATACAGAACGTTCCAGCTTGCCCGGTGGTCGCGTCACCCGCCTGGAACTCGTACAAGAACGAGTGATTAGCCGCAATGGGGCACTCTGCCAAGCAAGGTCAAATTGGCTGCCAAGTTAGTAGCTCTCCAACGCACGTGCAACGAAGGATGGTCCATCCTCCCAGCTCGTGTTGTGCTGCAAAATTCCGTGCCAGTGGATACTGGTCGACCGCAACATGGTGTTGTCCGTGAGCTGATCCTGAACGCGTGTGTTAGTGGTTTCGTTCCGACGAAGGCCCTGCTGCGACTCACATGCAGATTGACGCTGAATTTGTCTCCCTAAACGATGGTTAGAGCATGAAATTCGGTCTACTTTGTGATGCAGACCCTGTTGGCTGCGATGATCGGTCCAGGGAACGTTCCGCCGGCCACAATCGACCTTTGAGGAAAATTCAAACTACGGTTCGCCGCGGAGAACAGTGACCTACGAGCGTTCGAAACCGTCGGGCGAGAGGACCGTGTTGGTGATGAACAGATCGGTGACTGGCCCGAGCACGGTGACGGCCAAGGCTGGCGCCGAGAGAAGGGCAAGATGAAGCAGCTGGAGAAGGCGAGCTGAAGAGAAGGCCATCTGGGTAGGAGAGGTTGTTCGAGACGACCAATGAAGCAAAAGAGCGGTGGGCTATTGTCTTATATACCTTTCCCCGCGGTTAGGTAAGATACTCAACGCACATATGCCTCTAACGCATGTGCGTACCAATCTTTGTTTCTTTTCTTTTCTTTTTTTCTTTTTTGCAGTTTGGTAATGCAAGTATCATTGTAATTCAACATGCGCTAAAATCTGACTGTCGGAGAACGGTGTTTCCCCATGGTGTCGCACGCTGACAACTGCAACATAGAGTCAAGGCTATTTCATTAGAGCCCACTTGACATGTCTGGCAGATCTCTTCGCAGCTCTTTGAGCCATTAGTGCGCAGACCAGCCTAGAACGACCAAGAATAGATGCAGCGGGATCCAAGTACACCGGGTGCCAGAGACATTATAGCGTGTAGAACAAGGGCCCTCCTGCGGGGCCCGGGCACGGCGGGTTCGGTAGCAGATCTCTTGCAGCAGCCTGAGATGACGCTGGGATTTGTTGACAAGTTCACCGATCGACCATCACATCAAATGTGTCATATGATGTGATGCGATCATTCGGATCACTTATACCGTCTGTGTACCGAGATGCCGAGCGACATTTCGCTTCGTCGCCCGTCATCGGCACTTCATTTCACCAATGTGTCACTTAGACTCGTACCAATCCACCGGCACTTCGGTAGGGGAGGGCATTGTAGCCCGTAGCATTCAGGACGGGGTCGGTCCGAATCGCAAATGTACAAGACTAAGAGATGCCAGCCCTCAGACTGTGACAGCTTAGACCTCCGAGGTCTGATTGCAGACACACCTGGGAACGTTACATGTTCATTGTTGATTCGTGACTTGATCTTTGCTTGATCTGACCTCAATCATTTTCCCCTGAAAAGTCGCTCTCGTGAAGTTTTGGGTAGATAGCTACTGGCTACACTCTGGCTTGCGGAACAACGGCGCGAACCGCCGCAGATGGCGACGGGCGATGGGCGATGGTGGGCGCGTCTTGCGCGTACGTGATCAAATCAACAGCGTTCTCTGCGAAGAATCTCAGGGTGGGGTGGCGGGACCGGGGCTACAGGGACGGCAACATGAACCGTGAGAAATGCGCAGGTTTGTGTAAATGTATCCGATTCCCTTTTTTGTGCATCGGCGCGCGCCGCTCGTGGCGGAGTTGAATATACAGGCCGCCGCGGAGTTCAAAGTGCCCAATTGGGTTGATAGCGCCATATTGGTCCTTTTTCACGTCTTGGTGGCCGTCCTTCTCCGGATTGGGCACCAATTCTAGTTGCCGAGGATGTCACTTCCCCAGGATGCATAGATCTGACGGCGTGACCCGTGCCAAGTCCTCCCTGCAATTCGTTGACACTTGGTTGCTGTCTAGATTCTTCGACTGTGCCGTCCTGTGCATCGCCAAAAACGTGTATGGTATCCGGGTTTCAAGCGCCTAGCCGTCTTGGTCGGATTTCCGAGGTTCCGCAATGCTTTGTTGCTAACAAGAAGTAAGACTTGACGACCCCGTCTTTCGCGCCAACTACAGATGGTCTGGAGTTTGGACGCTGCAAATATGGCTGGGACTCTGAAGCCGATGACGACGACGACGGGTATGAAAGATGGGGCAAGTGAAAACAGCACCGAGAGAGAAGAATACACCCGAGTGTCCAGGCGCAGTCTGGGTCGGCATAACAAATCACGTATCAATGAGATGCGCGCGCGCCAGGAGTGTTGGATGACTGATATTCCACACGCAAAGCATGCAGCAATGGCCAATGGGAGCCCAGAGAGCAGCATAATTTTCGTAAGACCCAGTTGGATTTGAGGTATGTCAATTAACTATCAAACATCAATCTACAACCGCCGTTTGGATTCTGCGCACTGTCATCGGTTTGGACGGTCAATGCAAGCCGCAAATTCACTGCTCAAGGTCAACGGTATGCATTTATGTGTTAAAGACTAAACACTAACCGGATGGCGCAGATTGGAGTCCTCGCACGCAAGAAATGGCGATGCAAAGCACCGACCCACTATTGCAAAAGGACTGCGGAGTTGGCGCTGTGGGAGTGGCCAGACAAGCACCCGCACGTCGATGTAACCACAGGTACGTCGAACCTCGCTTGGACCCCTCATCTTGGAACCTCACACCTGGCGGTGAACGCAACGCTCCTCTTCGACTTCTTCACGGCGCACTAGATCCCCACCACGCCAAGCGATCGCTCTTGCCCCGCATCCAACTTGATGCTCGACTGACTAGTACTCCTCTTCCCCAAGGGCAAATGGTCGCACTACGCCGTTGAAATT